TCAGTATTTCATGAACAACACTAATGAAATATGTTTAAAGAGAGAAAAGAACACTGCCAGGCTCTTCAACCACATGCTAAGTCATTGGCTCACTCTTTTCTGTAGTGTCCTGTGAGGAGGGAGAAGCAAGTTTGCAAAAACTGGAATAGACTATTCTTTCCAACTGGTTTTAAAAAGTCGGCATTTGCATTCCTTTTGTCTTTTTCATCAAGATTTGTGAAACGGATGTTTTGTTAGCATTCATGTTAGGAGACAATAGATTTTTTTGCTTACAATAGACACAAAAAAGCAAATTTTAGATCCTATAAACACTTGGATCCAATGCTTGATAAAAGTTCATCCAAAAAGTGAATATCACATAGTTTATAAAACCAACCACAGCTAAACAAAAGATCTTAAATTTTGAAACTCAAAAGGTAAGTCAATGTAAATCAAGCAAGCAAGCAAGCAAACAAGAAATCAGTAAACATTTTTTCAAATCACTCATGTCTACATTTTTTCAAAGATATTTTTATGGGAACTCACAATAAAAGAAAAGGGAAAGTTTCTTGAATAAATTAAAAATTAGAAATTGTTTCTCTCTGCAAGTCCATTTTATAGGAGAGAATACCATGCAATGCAAAATCTCCGCCATAAACACCAGAATCATTTCCTGAACTATTCTGCTTCTCTATTCTGGCTGCTGGTATATCTGAGTGTAGAATACATCAGGAATACACAGCAGTTGTACAACATAAAAAGTTAGGATTAAAAAAAAACGAAGTGGGATCCAACGATGGCAAAACATATCCAAATTAATTTAACCCAGGCTAAATAAGGCATGCTTACACATTTCTATCATAATATCACCCTAGAAATATAAAGCACTTATTTCAGCTTTGTTTTGCTTTTCTGCAAACCAAAGCAATTTAATGCCATGATCCTACAGATCTTTCTCCAAACAAGTTGTCTTAACTCAAAGGAGTTGAGTAAGACATTGTAGCAGTAGAACTACTCACATGAAGAAAGTTACTCATGGGTCAGCATTTCAAATTAGCCCATTTCTCATTTGGCACCAAATATTTTGGAAATCTGGTCCTAGCTCTAATGGCTGAACGGTTAAAAAAATAATCTGACCAAGAACAGGCCCAAACCACAACCCGTTTTGCTCAATCTCTCTCACCCCGAGGCACATATTACCTACCCAGAAGACTTAAAACTACAAATAGAGGAAGAAGAAAGAAGAACAAGCTGGATTTCTGCTGAGGAAGGATGATGAAACAATTAGGACACAAGCCTAGGTCTTGGGAGAAGTTCTTGGGTTGAAGTTCTTATTCTCCAAAGATCTCACGTGACCTTAGGAAAGTCACTTAGACACAGATTCACAAGAGGACTAAATATACCGAAAGCAGAGAGATTAGGCAGATTTTGGCAAGTGAGGTATGATCCTCAAAACCACCCACCCCTAGCCCCCAAGGCAACTGTAATCTCTTGACATACCTAAAATTTTAGCAGGAAATTTGTGCAAGCTTCTGTGCAAGCTCAAGTGCCTCCATCTTGGCAGGCAAGGAGCTGCTTAGCCCTGATCAAGAACCTCATAGTAGGCATTCCTTCATGCAAGTCCTGAGGCCAGCTCAGAGCACCCCTAACATGCAGCCACAGGTTTTGAGATCTTCAAAAATGCAGCAACCACAACTACTTTCATTCTGAGAACCCAAATCCACGGTGCTACCCATCTTTCATGCTATAGCTCAAGGTCCAGGATGTGAGAGAGGTTCATTCAGTGTTATCCTCATTACATGGCTCTCAACAGTCACTGGACATGTAAAAAGCAGAGATCCAAAGCCAAGTCTCCTTTCTCTCCAGTAAGTGCCCAGATCACTAGGTTCGACTGTCATGGTCTCTCTGGACCAAAGCAAGTCTTGAATTCTCTTTAACAAAGCCAGTCTAGGAATTAGCCAACCTCCCTGCCTCACTTTCCCTTCTGCAAAATGGGATGGTGGCAAATTAAAATAGCAAGCTCTCTCACATGTTGTCACAAGGATGAAAACATTTAAAGAGTCTGAGATGCTCAAAGACTGCTAGAGCAAGTTACTTCAATCCAGGAGTGAAAATAACCCATTAGAGGATTTTGCTGAGCAAGCATCTTGTTAATGCATTGTTCCTGGCTGACACTTGATATAGGAGTGGCACTGATCTTTAGACTGCTGCAGCACTCTTTATACAAGATGGGTGTATGTTTAATTACAGTAAGTTCTCAGATTTCACATCATTGACGTGAATCTTGGCTCTTAAGTACAAGGACATTTACACCCAATGCAAATTACATGAAAAGTCTCCCATTGCACTGGAGTTGTGAAATTATTTCTGGAGTTGTCAGTCCTCTCCATTTGAACAGTTCAAGTTATTTGCAGCGATAGTGTGATACATAGCAAAACAGCTCAGGTGTGTGGGTTTGAACCTGGGACCTTCAGCACCTCAACACAGATGTCTACTGTTTTTAATTAAAGTGATCCTCCCCTGCCTGCCTTAGCTGATAGTAGTAGCAAGTTATTTTCCTCCTAAAATGCTCCATTGGGCTGGAAAAGCAATGGAATATCATGGGAATAGTTTAGGTCACAATTTGGACTCTGGTTTAAGTTTAGGTCATTGCCTTTGTTGGGGCCCGTTTCACTTTTGGCATTTTGAAGTCTCCAAGCAATATAAGCAAGCAATTCTTTATCCTATCTTTACACCAGTGTCACCAGTTAATGTGATACACATTCTTCCTTTGATTCATTTTAATAATAAAATAGTGCTTAGGACAAAGGGAATGAGATGAAATGAAGGAATCTACCTTCATAAAAGCACAAATTCCTTTTTTGGATGAACTGTGTAGTTTTACATTTGTCTCTTTTTTTTTTTGCTATTTAGTTATCCAGTCAACCTGCTATGGGAAGACACAGAATACTATCTTATAGCACTGGTGAACTACAGAGGCTTTTCTGGTTAAGTGGAAGTGCTGTATGATGTTCATACTACTGACTGTTCTAGAGTAGACGGGGCTTGCTTACATGTCAGTCTAATTAACTACAATTATTTATAGGCTTTTTGCTCTGTTTTTCTACATGATATATTCTTTGCTCATTTTGGTAGGAAATGTTACTGTGTGTAGATTGTGATTATTTTCTAATTCTAAATTTGGGGATACCAGCAAAGTTTGTCACAATAATGGTCCAGAGTCCCGAACAAAATCATGGAGATTCAGATTCACCAGGGCTCAACATAAGGATCAATCCACCTGCGACTCCCCCACAGTACAGCCTTCTGCTCAAGGGATGATGCCTAGGGACATACCATATACAGGTTTCACAGATATCATAAAAATAGCATGGAATTGTGTGTACTGTCCTATCAAAACTGCACAAACTGTGTACAGTATTCATATCCTTCTGTTATTCTTGTTCAAGTGTCTGCCTTTCCACAAGCATATGTACATGCTAGGATAGACCAATAAAACCTATAATAGCAATAAAATCAGCAAAACCTTTTAGATATGCATTAAACAGAAACTTCCATCTTTAAATCTTGAAGTAAACCCTCATGCTATATATAATTAAGAGTTGCTGATTCAATAACACATAGGTTCTTCCTATTAGGATACACCAAAAACTAGGAGTTAGAAACTTCTGTGAACCAGTAGAGTAAGCATAACCACTAGAAAAATTAAGAAAAACCTTCCCTCCTTCCCAAGCCATCTTCTAACAAGTGTGTATGTTTTATAAGACAAGATATATGTTTGGTAGCCTGGAAGACTGATTAACTCTAGCTTCTTAGGTAGCTTGTCTTGATTTAACATCTTGAAAACAAATAGGTATTTCTCTTGCCAGTGTTAATAGAAGCTAACCACACTGAGCAGAATGAAAGCCAAATAGGTTCAGTCTGGAATTGGCTTGCTGACACGAGGTATTATACCTACATCTGGAGCCAGGAGTGTTTCCTTATAATAACCACATTAAGATTAAAAAAAGAAAAGAGTGGCCAGTTAGACAAAAACTACAAATACAGTTTGCATTCACAGGACTCAGTGAAAGACTGGTATTATTTTTAAAGTATCTCCCCTAGAGCGCTCTTCCTTCTCTTGACAAGCATAAGGTTTTAAAGCACAAAGTAAAAATTTAAGATGTGCCACCGGCTATTCAATAGGAGAGAACAGTGCAGAGGGAAGCAGAAGGGCTGCAATTGCAAACCAAGGCAAGATGATGAATGATTTCAATAGCCATAGCTTTGATTGGGTCGAAATGGCATACGTTTGCATGGCAGGGAGGATGAATTGATCTCACCGGCGCTCTGAACTCACTTTAAAAAAAGTTTTACTGAACACACACGTCCCAGATTCACCAGTGCCCTGGCTGAAAGTTTTTCCCCTCCCCGTCGCAAAATAAAACTCTATGAAAAATATTCTTCAAACTCAGCATCCCTCCCTCATTGCTTCAAAAAGCCAGCTTTCCAATGGAGATTCTTTTGTAACGGCATATAGTGATCAGCTGCCCCTTGTCCCAGGAGGCTCACAGCTCAAGTGGAAAGTTATTGGCACTAATGAACTGGAGCCCTTTGGCAACAGAGATCCTGTTTGTTTTCCTGCACAGAACAGCATCTAAGTCCTGCTCTACCATCTCCAAAGAGGCAAGAATGCATCTGTTTAGAGAGCTGCCTACTGCTCTGAACTGCAAGCTGTTTCTGTATTTATAGCACAATTGGCACAGTCAGGATCTGAATTGGGGGCTGACATGTCCCTGGAAGCCAAAGGGCTACTTAACCAAAAAGCCTGTCCTTTGTCATCTTCTTTTTAATTTCCTTGCTTTGGAGGCAGCCTTTGAGAACAGTTTGCAAAATTTCAACATCAGAGCCTGCTGCATGTCTCCAGCCCTGGCACATAAGGAGGTAAATGCCTTTAACACGCAACAAGCCAAACGAGAAAAAAAAGAAGAAAAGAAAAGAAAAGAAGAGGGAGGAAAAAAAGGGAAAGCACAAATACTTACACCTAAACGTCTGCTCCTAATCTTTACATACCCTTGCTTCACTATGTCATTAAAATTGGAAGCCATCCTTTACTGAAGAGCAGCTGCTCAGGAAAGTTGTAGGAGAATCCAGTTTGTGACTGAAATTATTCCTCAAGCCCACATCACTTTGAATAATCCTCCTGACCCAGAAACTCAGCGACAAGAGTTTTAATCCACTTGGGGAAGAGAGAGAAGAGTGAATGAACCTAGAAGCCTGCCCTGTATCAGCTGACTGAGCTGCCGGCTGCAGCTGACTGGCAAGTACAATGAGCTCAGCACAGCTCCTCTCCTCCTCTCCCAGACAGCGGATCCGCCCTCTGCCTGGCTCCCCAGCAGGGCACATGCTCCCCCACACCCAGCAGGGACCAGCCAGCCCTTTCCCCCCAGCACAGTCTAAAGTTGTAGGGAATCCCAGGGGGGAGCTATGCTCAAAGGACTGAGAGCAGAGGTGGGAAAGGCTGGCAGGGGGGATTTTGCTGCTCTTGGTGAGTCCATTCCCGGGACAGGCCATCCCATGTCTTACATGCATATGCCCATATATTCCAACATGTTATATGTCACACATGATGTTACTAGATTGCATTTATCCTGTTCATTCACACTTTTTGTTTCCTTCCTTCTGGTCTATCTGTCCCGTTCCTCTCCCATTCAACAGCCTGGGATAATTGTCCATTTTTTCTCTTACTCTCCCTCATTCTGGCTCATGCAGTTGCACCCTCATTCTTTTATTCCCCATACTTCAGTTTCTCCCCAGCTGTCACAGCTCTTGTCTTGCTGTGTGCCCCATCTCTGCCTCCTCTCCTACATTTACCTGCCTCACAAACATGCATGCACACACACAGCCTCTGCCCTGTCACTCACCAACACACACTGCCTCCTGTTCCCATTACATGCTTCCTAATCACAATTCATTGCTTCCTCCCCCTCTACTGATTCCTTAGTGAAGGTACACTGTGTATCAGGAGCAAAATTTGATAGATTACCTTTAAAAAATATCTGAAGAAAATTATTCTGCCTCCTACGGGATTTAACGTGCATGTGTAATTCTCTCCTTGGAAACTGCTGAGCTGTTCTGAGGGCGGACCGAAGTCAGAAGAAAGGCTGTTTTATTCCAATGGACATGAAATCAGGTCCTTAGTTTCTCTCATTTTGTTCTGCACAAAGTTGAAGATGAAGGCCCAGGAAGAGCCAGCCTTCAATAATAATCAGGGCTGTCCTGCAGCTTATAGGGCAGGTGGCGATGACGCACGGGTTTTGCACAAAGCTGTTTCCCTGAACGGTCCTTGGATTCTTCAAGAAGGGCCAAATGGCACAGCTCCCCAATCCCTCGCTGAAAGTAACCTGAGCCCTTGCCCTCTGTTGCACTTCATGTGGTGGAAATGCCGCGCACACATGCCGCTTGTACTCTAACCACGTATAGTTGAGCAAATGAAAGAAGCTTCAATAGTGCTGGGTATGAGGTTGCATTCGGTGTCCAGCAAGGGTTCATTCTCTTTAGATTTGTGTAAGCACTGTCTGAGTGTCAGTAGGAACACAGGAGAGGGAAGTCCAGCATCTCCCATTTTCCCTCTTAAAATTACCTACTGGTATGATCCTGTCAGTATATAAATTGGAGAAATCACAAATTATGTACAAGTTGGATTACTTTTCTTGAATGCCTCCTTTCATTCAGTTTCAGATACAAGCATCCAGAAAATGGCTAGGACAACACTCAAACGAATGTCCTTTTTGGGCTGCAGGCGCCGAGGTACAGAAATTCATTTTTCTTGGAAGCAAAGGAGTCGGGCAAGTTAATTATGAGCAGAGAGCCAAGGCCCAGAAAGCCATTGAGCCCTGGATCCACAAAAGGGCTTAGGTGGCATGCTGACATCTCCAGTACCTAAGACCAGAATTTAGGTCCTCAAAAGCCACTCAGCTCCCACATAACCATGAAAAAGCTGTAGGCACTCAAGTTCTTTATATTAGAATTAGAAGGTTCTCCTTTAGGAGCTCAGGTACCCAGGTTGTAGCCGTGTTGGTCTAGAGGAAAAGGCAATCAGGACTTGTAGTAGAGCTGATATCTTTTATTAGCTGCTTTAGCAGTTCAGCGTTGATGGGGTTGAGCAGCTCTCACTTGCAGGACCTGACCTGGCAGTTGTTTACTGGTGTACTCTGGAGTTTGATGTACCAAGCTACTCACAAAATGTCCTTCTGCCTTGCGCAGACTGGAGTGTGCATCTGACATCGCCCAAGGGATTGCCTCAAGAACAAGGCTAATCTGTGATGGCAAAAGTGTGGTGCCTTCCTATCCACCTGCTGAAAGTATTCTGCTTTTCATGGAACAATTAAGCGCTTATGGACCAGAAAATAAGAGCAGGACTTTCTAACTTCATGGTTAGGAAGCTGAGACCAAGATTCCAGTCCTTCCTCTACTGAGCACTTCACTAATTTCTAAGCTCTCTTTCTTCCAGTGTCCCAGTGAATACATGCTTGGGCTCCATATACAATGCATGGGGAGACCATTGCTCTTGAACACTGTCAATCCCAATAGGTGGGTAGGCCCCCTAAAAGTTAGGTACTGCAGTGCTCAGTGTGATGACACCTATGTCCCCTTATTGTTCTAACCCTGAATACCAAAAATAAATAATAAAAATAGATTGTCTCTTTTCCAGTAAGTAACTGCCAATTCACCAGGCAGAGATATTTTCTTTAATGTACATTAGAGCTGTTGGCACAACACTGACATAATATAAACTGAAATTATGAAAGAAGCTTAAGGGAGTTAGATACCCAAATCAGTTTGAATGACTAGGGAAGGTGGGCACCTAACTCCTTTAGGCTGTTTTCAAAATCTTGGACATCATCAGCTTAATGATGCCAAAGCTGTCAGGAATAGTCAACAGAGCCAAAAGGCCCTCTTAAGTCAGTGGAAGCCCTTCTGTAGACTTCAAAGATCTGTGCATTGGATTAGGCCATAAATAACAGACATACAGACTGTCTTTATGACAGATTTAGAACCCTATCCTTATTCAACATGGTCCATTGAATTCAGTAGCACTTTAACACATGCTTAAAGGTAAGCATATTCCTAAAAGCTGTGCTGAATGAACATACAGTTAAGCATGCACTTGAATCCTTTGATGAACTGGGTCTTTCTAACAGGCCTCCATTGAAATGCAAATTTTTCTTATCATGGTGATGATGATGATGTTACTGCTTCTATTTTTAATAACGATAGAGCCAGAGGTCACTTTCAAGTACTACCCTGTTTTTAATAATTTAAGTTTCATAGATTCCATAGATTTCATAGACATTTGGGCTGGAAGGGACCCTGGAGGATCATCGAGTCCAGCCCCCTGCCCCATGGGGCTTGTCCACACATGCAAGCACATGCGCTTGCAGCAACTCAAATAGAAGTGGTACAAATTTGAGCTGGGGCTTTTTTCCTCAGCACATGTGCTCGGACATGCACTTTGTTGTGGAGCAAATTGTACACTTGGGGCAAAATAACCCTGCCTGGCTCCTCCCATATCTTCAGCCAGGGGGGAGCTAGAGCCCAAGGCCAGCACCTGTGCTGTCCCCAGCAGTATAAAAAGCTGCCCTGTCCTGGCCCCAGCAGTATAAAAAGCCTCCCTGGCAAGTAGCTCAGGGCTACTTGCTCTCGGAAGCTTCTGGGGCCCAGCCAATTGGTGCCTGGGGACACTACCCCTTGTGCCAGCTGGACTGCTGAAGCAGCCCTGAGAGTTCCCTGAACCCTCTACCCACTGCAGCAGTGTGGCAGTGGGGGCTGCTGCCTGGCTGTGACCTGCTGTGCACCTGCCAGACTCAGATGGGGACTGCAGAGCCAATAGAGGCATCTTTCCCTCTGGGTCAGCTGCGAGTGGACTGCGGTTGCAGGGTTGGCCTTTGTGCGGCACTACTGCCATTTGTGCCCCCTGCCCGACCATTTGGGCAGCTATCACCTGGAAGATGTTCCAGGTGTGGTGGCCTCCTTTGAAGTGTCAAAGCATGTCCTCCTGGCCCCATTTTCCCAGGAAGTCAGCCACAGCCAGATGGGTGCAGGGTCCTGCCACTGGCCTCCCTAGCAGGAATTCTGGTGTTCCCTATTGGAAAACTGAAAAATCCCTGATAAAAAAATCCCCAAATCACTCTTTAAAATACCCCCAAATCCATGTTCCTCCACAAATAAAACAAAAGACCACTATAAGGAGAGAGAAAGGGTGAAACAGAGACAGTGATCATTCGGACAATGTTTATTGATATATCTACAGTGTTAAAGCAAGTCTCTTATCATAATAATAAAGTGAACCTTAAATACAGGTTTCATGAATTCATGAATACACATTTTGCCCTCCCATAGGGCGATGGCCCCCACACAAGGGTTTCATCCCCCACACAAGGGCTATGGCCCCCCAACAGGGGATTCAGCCCCCACACAAGGGGTTCATCCCCCCAAAAAAGGGTTCAGCCCCCACACATTTTTTTGTTCCCGTACGTGCCTGTTGCCCACCTCAAAGGGGTTTGAGGGGGGGCAAGAGGCATGTGCGTGCTCGTGTGGACACACCCATTGTCAGGAAGTCCGCAGGGATCATAGGATCCCCGCAAGATAAGCATCCAAATGTGTCTTGAAGGCGTTCAAAGTGGGTGCTTGCACCACCTCCGGCAGCAGTCTATTCCAAACCTTGGGGGTCAGACAGTAAAGAAGTTCTTCCTTATGTCCAGTATGAAATGGTCCTGGAGGAGTTTGTGACCGTTCAACCTTGTCACCCCTTGGGATGATCTGGTTAACAGACGTTCCCCCAGATCCTGGTGAGCACCCCGATAAACTTATAGGTGGCCACCAGATCACCCCTGAGCCTACGCTTTTCCAGGCTGAGGAGTCCCATAGCTCTCAGCCTCTCATCATAAGGTCTGTTTTACTGACCTCTGATCATGCGCGTGGCTCTCCTCTGCACTCTCTCAAGCTTCTCCATATCCTTCCTGAATTGTGAAGCCCAAAACTAGATGCAGTACTCCAGCTGTGGCCTCACCAAGGCTGAGTACAAGGGGAGAATGACGTCCTGGGATTTGCTTGAGAAGCATCTATGCATACAAGCCAGTGGATCGTGGTGAGGTCAAGGCTGCAGTTAGCCAGTTTTGCCAAGAGGTGATCATGGGATACCAGATCGAAGACTTTTTTAAAGTCAAGATATATTACATCAATCTCTTCCCCCTTGCCCAGGTGATAGGTCACCTGGCTGTAAAAGGAAATGAGATTGGTCAAGCAAGACCTACCCGTAACAAACCCATGCTGG